AATTAGTTGACAATTAAGTGACATTTCAAATCTTTGTTTATGAGGCTCAATAAGTCTAGGGGTGCGGTGATTGATTCAGACATAGGTAGAGAAGATATGCCTTTGGGATTTTTCTACATTGATTTCCTCTGTCAACGAGGGGCATAAATAAAGGACATAGAGGATTATCTGTTCTTTGATTTATACTGTTAATTTTTGTGTTTTAAGATCACCAACTAGTGGTAATAAAGAATTAGGAGCACTAGGACATCAAACCAAAGACACAGCACTGTGTCTATTACATAACTGTCCATTATTAACTGATCTATATACATGGAGTCATTGGACGCTAGTGTTTGAACCCCAGCTTGGTCCATTGAAAGATTTTATACAGAAATATGGTGTACAGACTACTATCAAGGTGGAAGGTACACAAGATTTACCGAGACTTTTTTATTTGCATGTAATTCAATAGCTAAAAAATGTTTCAATGCAAATTGACTGGCAAATGCACATTTTCCCCTTAAATCTTGATTTGAGTTAATTTTTTGTGAAGAAAGGCCTATGGTGACTAATATCTTGTATTTTAGGTGGAACCAGTAAGTTGACTACTTGACAAGTAAAACCAGTATACTGACAACTGATATCTTGTATTTTAGGTGAATCAAGTATATCGACTACTAATATCTTGTATTTTAGGTAGAACCAGTATATTGACTACTAATATCTTGTATTTTAGGTGGAACCAGTAAGTTGACTACTTGACAAGTAAAACCAGCATACTGACAACTGATATCTTGTATTTTAGGTGAATCAAGTATATCGACTACTAATATCTTGTATTTTAGGTAGAACCAGTATATTGACTACTAATATCTTGTATTTTAGGTGGAACCAGTAAGTTGACTACTTGACAGGTAAAACCAGCATACTGACAACTGATATCTTGTATTTTAGGTGAATCAAGTATATTGACAACTGATATCTTGTATTTCAGGTGAATCAGGTATATTGACAACTGATATCTTGTATTTAAGGTGAATCTGGTATATTGACAACTGATATCTTGTATTTTAGGTGAATCTGGTATATTGACAACTGATATCTTGTATTTAAGGTGAATCAGGTATATTGACAACCGATATCTTGTATTTAAGGTGAATCAAGTATATTGACAATTGATATCTTGTATTTTAGGTGAATCTGGTATATTGACAACTGATATCTTGTATTTCAGGTGAATCAGGAATATTGACAACTGATATCTTGTATTTAAGGTGAATCAAGTATATTGACAATTGATATCTTGTATTTTAGGCGAATCTGGTATATTGACAATTGATATCTTGTATTTTAGGTGAATCTGGTATATTGACAACTGATATCTTGTATTTCAGGTGAATCAGGTATATTGGCAATTGATATCTTGTATTTTAGGTGAATTTGGTATATTGACAACTGATATCTTGTATTTCAGGTGAATCAGGTATATTGACAACTGATATCTTGTATTTAAGGTGAATCAAGTATATTTACAACTGATATCTTGTATTTAAGGTGAATCAGGTATATTGACAACTGATATCTTGTATTTTAGGCGAGAGCAGTATATTTACAAATGATATCTTGTATTTAAGGTGAATCTGGTATATTGACAACTGATATCTTGTATTTCAGGTGAATCAGGTATATTGACAACTGATATCTTGTATTTCAGGTGAATCAGGATATTGACAACTGATATCTTGTATTTAAGGTGAATCAAGTATATTGACAATTGATATCTTGTATTTTAGGTGAATCAGGTATATTGACAACTGAAATCTTGTATTTTAGATGAAAGCAGTATATTGACAACTGATATCTTGTATTTAAGGTGAATCAGGTATATTGACAACTGAAATCTTGTATTTTAGGTGAATCTAGTATATTCACTACTGATATCTTGTATATAAGGTGAAACCAGTATATTGACAACTGATATCTTGTATTTTTGGTGAATCCAGTATATTGACAACTGATATCTTGTATTTTAGGTGAATCCAGTATATTGACTACTAATATCTTGTATTTTAGGTGGAACCAGTAAATTGACTTCTTGACAGGTAAAACCAGTATGTTGACAACTGATATCTTGTATTAAAGGTGAATCTGGTATATTGACAACTGATATCTTGTATTTAAGGTGAATCTGGTATATTGACAACTGATATTTTGTATTTTAGGTGAATCTGGTATATTGACAACTGATATCTTGTATTTTAGGTGAATCTGGTATATTGACAACTGATATCTTGTATTTAAGGTGAATCAAGTATATTGACAACTGATATCTTGTATTTTAGGTGAATCTGGTATATTGACAACTGATATCTTGTATTTTAGGTGAATCTGGTATATTGACAACTGATATCTTGTATTTTAGGTGAATCTGGTATATTGACAACTGATATTTTGGCTCTAGAAACAAAACCTGGTGTACTGTTGAAGTTATCATCTCAATCAACTATTGAGAAATTTAGTCAGTCTTTAGATGAGAACAATCCAGTAATATCTATAGGACACCTACTATCACTGATTGTGTTAAGTAAAGGAGTCGAAAATACATCTTTAGCCTTGTTAGCTAATCATATCAAAGTAGCCTTATTGAAGCTACATTCACAGTTTAGACAATCAGGTAAATAGTAGTTGGTATCAATATTGTCAAAGTATGCATGGTACTACAAAAGTGAGTTTTTGAAGATGCTTAAATTCTAGACTTGCATATTGAATATATTAAGAGGAATGCTGTATTCCCTAAACCAGGTGGATGGAAAGCTGATTACCCTGTATTAACTGTATTACTTGTCCATTTTCATTGGTTTGATATAGTTTCAATTGAAGCCTGTGTTTCCCAATGTGAGATTTTGTGATTGGGTCAGATCTCCTGGCTGGTTGGCTGTATATAATTTTGATATCACGTTGAAATGTATTTTATAGAAAGTGTTTGTCAGATAGACCAAGCAGCTAAATTTATTCTAGAATGTCTTTGTTTATTACCAAAACAAATCTGTGTGTCAATTGGTAATCAGGTTAGTGAAATATATTATATTATTTTAGAAGATAGACTAAAAAGGTTGAAGGATAATTTCTTGATCTAAGCTGGGATGGAACCTCTGTAATTGCCTGACAGCCACAGTATTTCTTGTGCTTTAAATCCATTATTATTTTTCAGCTTTTCCTTGTTCCATTGAGTGACGTTGTTGGCTCCACTAAATCGAAAACATTGATAATAGAGGCATGTCAAACATCATATCACAGAACACAACTAGAAGAACTAGGATGTCTCTTTGGTATTGATGAATGGACAGAAAATCTTCTCAACAAATCAAGACCTAAGAAATCAGACATTCAGAAGATTGGATCAGAATTTATTGATGATTTAGAAGATCCTGATGAGGTAACCTATAGTTGTTAAGATGATTATTTCTTCAGTTCATTTTATTTTTATGGATGTGGTTAATTTTGTGATTTTGTGATTTTCCTGATGAAAAGTGCAGTTATATTATTTAACACTTGTGTGTTCAATCTGAATTGGAAGTAACAATTGTAACAGTAAACATATGTTCAGAAATCCTGAATGTAGACAAGAACTCGGTATAAATTGCAGTAAATCTTGTGTTTATTATGTCATTAAGTTTCATATCATTATGTTACAACTAGTAGAACATATCTGTCCCCGTTCTACTTGATAACTCATTTGAAAGAGAGATTAAAAAATAAGGCGAGATTGATAACAACACTTTATTTTAGTATATTCCTGTAAGATACCTATATTTGTCTTTATTAAAGGATAAAGAAATAGTTATTGATAGTGATGAAAGTGATTTTCTATCTGAAGATGAAGATTATAATCAGGATGTTAAACAGGAAGAGAAAGAAGAAGGGAAGATTATTGAAGAAGAAGATGCTGAATCAAGTGATGTAATAATATTGGAAGATGAAGTAATAGGAAATAAAACAGGTATACTGGTTTCCAGAAAAAAAAGTAAATGTATTGAACATGGCTATTCCTGCACTTTATCATGTACAAGACCAGTTTATGCCATGACCTTTTTAGATGAAAGGCTAAGTTGAATGATTTTGTTAATAACACTTAAGCAACATTTAAGTTGGTTTTTTTCAACAATTTACATAGTCATTATCAGGTGAAAATGTTGTAGTTTATGTGTCTTTGCTAGGTCTTAAGAATAAGTCAGATACTAATTTATTAAAATTGTTTATGGCTGCTTGAGTGATACTCATTATATTTTGCGTAAGATTAAAGTAAACAGAAGGGTATTATTAGATGTAAGTTTATATCAATTTTCACTTAGAAGATAATAATAAAGAAGAGATAAAGCCAGCAGTAGGTGAGACAACAGAAACTAAACCAGACACTGATCAACCTGATGTAGAGATTATTGAAGATACTGAAGAAGTTGTTGATATCCATAAAAAACTCATAGAAGATATAAGAAAAGATGTATTTGGTGTGGGAATAGAGTTAAATGAAGATGGCGAAAGATTAGTTAAGATTTTACAAGAAAGACAAGGAAGAAGTTTGGATAGATTATCAAAGGATTTATATTCTAAAGATACTCATTTTGTTTTAGAACTCATTCAGGTAACTACAACTTTAAGTTTGAAATAAACAAGAAGTAATCCCTCTCTCTGCTGACAAAAATTGACTAGGCAATATGATCAAAAACAAATATATTACTTAGTGTTGAAACGGTTAGTGAATTTTACGAACTGGGTTATTGTCTGCAATTATCGTTTGTTACCTGGTTAATCCCAGTTAATTACTAAAGATTATAAAGACTTTGGATAGTTCCCTGTGAATTGTCAGTACAAATCGACAGATACCAAACTACCCGCTTCTGCTTCAATGTAAGATTACAAGCGGGCCTGACAGAGTTCAGATGGTCTGGCGCCATTGTCACTCATTGCTACAGTCTCTAACAGATCAAAGGTCTTTATACCAGTTGTGGGGTCAGTGTAATGAGTGTATCTCATTGAAGTCGCCGCAAATCAATGTACTGGTTCCACAACTGGTATAAAACTATTGTCTCAATGAATCCGTACTCATGAATATTAGTAAGCTTGAAGCTGATTGACAGGCAAGAAGAAACAAACAGCCAATTAGAGGAGAGTTAATAAAAAGTAATACGATCTTTATAACTGTTTTATTCTAAGCAACTCGTACCTGATTGAAATAATAAGAATAATAACAAAACTTGCTCTCTTTTTACTTATGATAAAATTGGCGGTTAACCGATTATCTCAAATCAGACCTGGTTACCCGTGACATACTACCCGAAATCGGTTAACTGATTAACGGTTTCAACACTAACATTACTGATGGATATAGTTGTGTGTGTTTCCTTGTTTATTTATCAAGCTGACACTTGCTATTTAATGTTAATTCTTATTTGTATCTAGAATGCTGATGATAATACTTATTCTACTGATGTTGTAAAGTCTTCAAATGGTCCATCAGTAATGTTTAAAATAGATGATAATGGTATTACATTATTTAATAATGAGCTAGGATTTAAAGAAGTAGAAATAAAAGCTATATGTGATGTTGGTAGAAGTACTAAAGGCAAACATAAATATGGTTATATTGGTACGTATAGTAAATAAATGAAAAATTTTCATTAGGGTCATTGCTCCTGTCTGTCCGTCTGTCCATCTGTCCATCCACAAGTCCTATTTTAACAAATTTAATGATATGCATGTGTGTGTGTGTGTGTGTGTGACTCAGGAATGACTCGTATCTTCAGATTTTTCGAAGATAGAAGTTTTAGTCATTGCCTAAATGACGGAACTGAGACCAAAACGTTTAACATAATAACTCAGCTCATTTCATTTCTGTTTTTGATCTTCTACAAAGATTCAATAATTTAATTTTAGCCTAAATATCAATCGTGTCTCCTTATTAACTTAGTAATTTTATATTCATCCTCTCTGCCAATTTTCTATTTCATAAAAGAATGTTCAATGTGATTTCAGGTCAGAAAGGAATTGGTTTTAAATCTGTATTTAGAATAACAGACAGGCCTGAAATTCACTCTAATGGCTACCATTTCTGTTTTGATGTTAAAAGTGGACCTATGGGTTATATTATGCCACATTGGGTTGAAACTGAAGATGAAGACTCTATGAGGTAAACTGAATTTGATTGAGTATAAGCTTTAAGAAATTTGGAAACATTTCTTGTGAACACAATTTAAAGAAAATGCTTAAACTTTGACATACCAGTATTCATGATTTATGTGATTATATTCAAATAAATATTTTCTCTGCTTTGTAGATGGACAACAAAGATAGTCCTACCAATAAAAGATGAAATGAAAGCTCAGACACGTCCATTAGCAGCTAGATTTAATGATATTCATCCATCATTATTATTATTTCTTCATAGACTGAAGGAAATTACTATTGATAATAAGGTAATCATTTGCTTATCAAGAAAACTTTAGAAAAAATTGTGAAAGGTAATGTCTAAGAGCAACTTTTTTTTTAATTTTTAACGTCTGAAACTGAAATTTCATTACCATTAAATTACCATATAAATTGGATTTGAAAACCTTAAGATAAACTACGTGATCTTAAGGCAAACTTTAATGCAATTTAATTAATTGCTTGGGTATAAGATACAGGTAAAAGAAAAAGAATATCGATGCCTGAATATTTGCCTCTCCAGCAGATGATGCTCAATTTCAGCTATCCAAGTTTACATATTACCCTTCAGATTTTATATTTGACCCTTGGCTTTCATAAGTAATATTGTATACATGCACTCTACTGTTAATACATGTATATGATTTTGTGATTATAGATAGAAGACAGTGTTTTAAAGATACAGAGATATGATAAGAGTGATAATATAGTAGAGATAAAACATGGTAATAAAACAGATAGATGGCTTGTCATCAAGAAAATCTTAGATTCCTCGAAAATATCTTTACAGGTTAGTATTGTAAGCTTTAAAAAAGATTTGAAAGAGTGTACTACTGAATAAAAGGTGCTGTATGGATATTCCCCTTTGATATCTTAACATCTTATTGTATAATTTGTCATGTTTATTACAATAATATTCATTACAATCATTTTCTAACCTAGGTGAAGTCTGGTGTAGATGTGGAATCAACAGAAATAGCTCTAGCTTTTCCCCTTGCCAGTAAAAAACAGAAAAGGCAATATCAGGTAAACTTTATTTTTATATTTAGATCATATTTACAAAACTAATACCTTATGAAATTTCTGGCTTAATTTATGGGAAGATACTAACCTAAACAATTCTACAGTTGTCAATATACTAAAAAAAAATTTTAAGACAGTCAATATTTTGTAAAACCATTAACAAGTTTAAATATGATTAATGTGATATGTTTTGTAAAGCCATCAGTTGGTTGTAAATGTAATGAATGTGATATATGGTAAAGCCATCAGTTGGTTGTAAATTTAATGAATGTGATATGTTTTGTAAAGCCATCAGTTGGATGTAAATGTAATGAATGTGATATGTTTTGTAAAGCCATCAGTTGATTGTAAATATAATGAATGTGATATGTGGTAAAGCCATCAGTTGGTTGTAAATGTAATAAATGTGATATGTGGAAAAGCAATCAGTTGGTTGTAAATTTAATGAATGTGATATGTTTTGTAAAGCCATCAGTCGGATGTAAATGTGATATGTGGTAAAGCCATCAGTTGGTTGTAAATGTAACGAATGTGATATCTGGTAAAGCCATCAGTTGGATGTAAATGTAATGAATGTGATATGTTTTGTAAAGCCATCAGTTGGTTGTAAATGTAATGAATTTGGTATGTGGTAAAGCCATCAGTTGATTGTAAATGTAATGAATGTGATATGTGGTAAAGCCATCAGTTGATTGTTAATGTAATGAATGTAATATGTGGTAAAGACATCAGTTGGATGTGAATGTAATGAATTTGGTATGTGGTAAAGCCATCGGTTGATTGTAAATGTAATGAATGTGATATGTGGTAAAGCCATCAGTTGATTGTAAATGTAATGAATGTAATATGTGGTAAAGCCATCAGTTGATTTGTAAATGTAATGAATTTGATATGTGGTAAAGCCATCAGTTGGATGTAAATGTAATGAATGTGATATGTGGTAAAGCCATCAGATGGCTGTAATTGTAATGAATGTGATATGATTTGTAAAGCCATCAAGATTGTAAATGTATTTAATGTATTATGTTTTGTAGATTCTACCAGATAAGCAGTTAGTGTTTGCCTTCTTACCATTAAGAAATTATGGTTTCCGATTTATTGTACAAGGTGATTTTGACGTGCCATCTAGTCGAGAGTGTGTTGATCGTGATAGTGCTTGGAACCAATGGTTACGTAATGAAATACATACTTTATTTATTGAAGCTCTTGATGTTTTCAAAGTAAGTTTTAAATTTTCCAGAAAGTTCATACAGATGCCTTTACCTTAGTGAAATGCTGTGAGAGAGACACAATGTAAACTATGACTTTATTTATGCTATGTAATTAGAACATATTAAAGTTTTTGCTGTGTCACATTTCATGGAATAAAGTAAATAACATTAATTTGATTGATTCAAGTTGTTTTTATTTATCACATTAGGCTCATCCAGACTTTGATGAAATTGAAGCTTTATTATCTTTCTTACAATTTGTACCCATGGAAGATGAGATTTTGGATTTTTTCAAACCAGTTGCTAGTCAGATATTGGGTAAATTACGGGCTAAAGAATGTTTGCCAGTTGTATCTAGTAAACAAGGTAATTATTTTACACAATAAGCTTGTACTTGCTCTATTTGTTTTGTTATCTATTTTCATTGATATGATTCCTGTTGTTTTTTTTTTTCTATTTAAATTTACACTTTTGAACACAGAAATGACAAAATGGCTGTGTAAAAATTGTTTTATTGTTCACTGTACAGTCTCCTATTTGGAGTAAGTTTCTTTGTTTTTGACATCTTACAGAAGAGATAATCGATATGGATGTCCATACAACTCAGTCTGTTGATATAATTAATACATATAATGAAGATAAGAGATAAAGATATAGTAGAGTGAACTAAAGAGATAATATTTATGTTGTAGGTGTGTATGAATGGAAGATGCCATCTCAGACTGTTATTGTTACTGATATGTTAGTGAGAGAAGTAATATCTCCTGAAATACTTCTAACACATTTAAACCTTTATTATCTATCTCAAGATATAGCTTGTATGTTAAACTCTACATTAGCTAGAAATCTTGGGGTGGAAATGATCACTACGGAAAGACTGCTACAAATTGGAAGATTTTTTGTCCAGATGTTTGCTATCAAACAAATTGGTAAGTATGTCTGATGTTTAATCACATAGTGTATCATTAACAATTTCATATTTGGCCTAAACTCAAAATTATTTGGCAAAACTAAACGAATAATGTCAAGGGATGAGTCACCATCCTTAAAGCTGACCTCTCCAAAATAAAAACATAAAATGGTGTGTGATTGGGTAGCATGCATGCAGAACTTGCACTGACTTTTAGCTTCAAATTTTTTTTTCAACACTGGTTTCATGTACACAATTTTTGTTTTGACTGGTCCTTCAGTGAGGCTTAATAGTTGATTCTGACATAGATTAAAGAACAAGTAGTACCATGATAAAGATCCATGGACATGTACTTGATCTCAGCAACATGATCTGTCCATCACATACAAATTTATATTAGAATATTGTGTAGGCCTACATTATACCTACATTATACCTATTGGTGTTAAGAAGCCATTATTAGAGATTAATGTATGATGCTATTTTTATACACCCACATGAAATCGGTGGCGTATATTGCTTCTGTCGGTCCGTGTGCAATTGCTTGTAAACACTTAAAGCACATTTTTGTGCAGGACTGCAGTGTAATGCAGTTTTTCTCATGGAAATTAAATATTTTCCAAAAAAAGACAAAAGTGCTCCTTGGCGAGTGCTACTTTATTGATTTCCAGTGAAAAGTACACCGGAGTCATAAGTAAGCAGTCCTTCGTTAAAAAACACCAAAAAAGTAAAGCAAAAGTCTTTTGCGAACAGATAAATTGTTTTGTTTACATTTGTGCTTGTTTATGCCATTGGAAAGCTTCTCTTTTTTATATACATTGACACTATTTTCTCCACGTTGCTCATATTTTATTGATATTGACAGAACTTCAAGGGTCTGTGATATGACTGAAGGTTGAATATTTCATAATGGTGATTGTTACTGTACTGCTAAATATTTTTATTTATAATCAAAGCTGCTAGTGGGCCTATATTACCTTGCCTGGCAAGCTATCCTTTGTCATTGAATTGATTGATTGTGCATTGATATTTATTTCTAGATAAAGCACAACAAGTGTTAACTCTAGCTAAATGGATGGCCTGTGTGTACAGAAGTTTAGATGAATTGAACCCTGATGAATCAGTCTATAAGGAGTTGAAGTCAATGAGAGTTATTCCCCTTTCTACAGGAGAGATAACCTCCTTGTCGGATGAAACTGTATTTATTATACCACCACAAAATAAAATTCAGAAAACCAAAACATCAGGAGGTCTGTAGTTCTATGGTGTCATATTTTTGTTTGTAATTCATTGTAATTCATGTCCTATCTGAAAATGTTGACACATTTGTTCACACTGAAACTTAAAGCTTGAATGTCACTTACTTATAAATTAGCCAATTCAATAAACCAAGTATGCAAAGCTATTTGTGCTAGTTCAAGTGTGATTGGAAACATCAGCACTCCTTTTTTAGGCAGAATAAATCGTCATATAAACTATACAGACTGAACTTAAATTGTGTTTTACTGCCTACAAAAAAAGTAGAAAGGTTGTGTTTATGTTTTGATTCATCTTGGATGTGCATAAAATATTTGTTAAGCTAAAATTTGTTTAAAGATCAAACTTGCTTTGTGATACTTGTAACGAATATGTGATTTTATGTCCCTCAAAATGATCAAAAGTATCTTGATCAAAAGTACAAAAAGTTGTTTCTAAAAATTGGGTTTGGTAATTAACACAATGCCTAGTAAAGAGATTGTTTTGAAATTGAAATTACAGATCCAGTTAATAGAATTGAAAGAGATTTAAAAACCGTAGATAGTGGATTGATATCTACACCAGATAATGAGATCAATTCACAAGT